CCGAATTTTATAACAGTTGTTATTTAGAGTTACATTAGTAAGTAATCTAACTTTTGAGCTTTTCCGTAAATTTACTTTGGTGGCCGTAACGTATTTAAATCGCCTTTGTACTGCAACGTAAGATCTTTTGTCTTTGGTGTTTTGCTAGTGACAAGTGCCGTATTAATTTTTGATACTTTCCGTAAATTTATTTTGCATTAAATTTGCCGCACAGTAGGTATTTACCGTTTTTGCTTTTTCTTGCACAGAAAATTCTACCGCTGTGTTTCTTTGCAAGGCAAGCCTTTGCCAATTTCAGTTCTATTATTTATAAAGGGGGGATATTCTTTCGCTTTCCTGCATTTGAATTCCCGTAGCTACCGATAATTAATTTGCGCTTTGTTGGTTGCGTTCTTGTTGCAGCAATCGCTACCGTGTCCGTATGCCTTAATTCTGCTTTCAGATCCTTCGCTAGAAGCCGATCTCCACCGTGTTATCTGTGACATCCGATTCGCTGCCGGTCCGAAACCCTGTTCAGGGACAAGTCCGTATCTCTTGGTGGCGCTCGAATCCGCCCATCCGTCCCGTTCCGTCAGATTTCCTTTGAGTTGGAAGTGATTTATACTTAGTTTCTTTATACTTAATTGATTTCATATAAATAATTACACCGTTTACCGATTGCGCGCAAACTACCAAAGTTTTTCGCAATCGCCCTTGAAGTTTTTTCCAACGTCAGCTTCCAATGTCTTTATTACCGTGAAAGTTCGTTATTAAAGGGCTTTATAAATGGTTTCGTCGGGACATGTGCCCTCCAGTTCCTTTAAACAATGTGCAGTTATTACAACAGGAGTATGTCAAATACTTAGGCTTTCACCTGGATAACGGTCTTAAGTGGACCAAACACATTTTTGAAAAAAGGAAGTAAGTTGGCATGGAGTAAAGGAAACTACAGTGGCTCACAGGACGATCCAAATGGTACGGTAAGAATCTGCACTGTCCCACTTCTCTCGCTGGTTGAATCTAGCCCGTTAGAAGACCTACCTTCTTCGGCTAGTGTGCCCTAACAACCAATAGAAAACCCGCACTTTCGACATGTGCTCGGTTTTAAACAGAAAACTTTGAAGTTCGCTTGTTATCGCCAGACGTAATTTTGTTCATGTTGGCTATAAAGCGGTTTTTTTTTGATACGGCAACGATGACCACCTGTCTGCCTGTTACCTGTCTTTACATAGATTGGAAGTAGCGTATCAACGCCTGTTGGGCAGTCCAATCTATTTTTAAGTGACAACACAATAATAGCTATTTATATATCAAGTACATAAACTGGGTCTTTATGGACGAGCCGTTTATTTACAAATAAACAAGGCGAGTCCCCATAAAACCTATTAATGGACGCGATATATACAAAGCTTTATGTACGACTGCAACAACCCTTAAAAATGAAAATTTCATGGAATTCAATAAACGATAAAATCTATATATCATTGACAGCAGATGTCAAGCATTTGTCAAGTATTTCTAAAATACTTGAATTGAATTTACCTTGGATTGACACCTAAGTACGACTGTCACATTGACAGGGGGCCGTTTTACTTTATCATTATGGACTAGGCCCTAATATTGCAAATTATGGCCACTAATTGCGACACTGTAATCACTGCATTATCAAGCAGTGGTACATAAACAATTATTATGCGGTGTAGAAAACTATGATGAAATCAATAAGAACATGAGGGATGGTTTTGTCTGCGGTCCGAAACAGTTCACTGTGCTGCAATATAATTGGCAGTCTTAACAGTGATATACTGTAAGAAGCGCCAACTCTTTAAACAACATTGAATTGAATGGTAAAGAAAAGGGCGAGAAAATTTATTTTTTCAGTGCGTTTTTTTTCATATAACTAAAAGCACGATTTGTGCTGCTAAACCAATTTCTCAAAAGTTCGCTAATCGAATTATTTAAAGAAAACGTATGACGAGTATACCAAAATTAATCTGCACTCAACACATATTGTGAGCTAGCAACCCTTAAAAGATTAAACACCTCGAAGCGAAAAGCGAAAAACGAATGAATGCTTGAAAATCTTTTCTGCTTTTAGTTTAGAAAAGTGCTTAGCGTTGCAATTACACGATGTAGAGTCGGGCACACACCTCCTGCAGAATAAACGATTTCAACTACTGCAAACTTCCGAAATTAAATGCGCGCTCTACTCGACGACTGTTCTGGTATTCCACATTCGAACCCACTGCAGACCGGAATTATTGATTTCGGTCCAAATTGCCCGCAATAAGGGACGGAAAGTTTCCACCGCAAACAAATATTTTATCGATACGCGATCCCGGTAATGCAATGCAAAAATATTGTGTCACAATTTTCCGGTCAAGTGATTAATACGATTGGGTTGATCGCAAATTAAACCTACCGATCTGCATGCTTTCAAAGTCCACCATCATAAAGGGCGCGGGGTTCGGTACAAAGCTCATTCGCATGCAGGAATTACGAATTAGCATTAGCTTTGTTCTTTTCTAACTATATTTCGTTAGGATAACGATGGGACCAACTTATGTAATGAAATGAATCCCTCGGTAACAGAGGCCGAGAGGGTATGCGTTAAACAATTACGTTGTTTTGGGGCAAACTTTGCTCACTCGCAAGAACGACCATCTATTTAGTTACAGAAAAGATGGGAAGGGAGAATGAGATAATGCTCTTTTGTAAAAGACTGTGTTTTAAACTACGTCGCGCACTTCATCGATGTGTCAGTATTAATCTTATACAGATAATCGTTACCCTGTAATTAACAGCTATTGCACTTTGTGCATGTGTTACAAGTCAGATGGAAACTAATTGGATTTGTACCAAAATGACATATGCAATTATGTATACATCCATGAATTAGGCAAATTGCTTATAATGGATAAACCGGTAAACGTACATGCGCCTACTTCTTTAGGAAAGTATCTGTTCACAGTTGTTCTTAAATTGATTTATAACATTTTATAACACTTCTAATTACAGTCATCTTTTTAACACTTAATTTATAACACGAACGCATGAACGTGAATCCTTGTGGTAAACTGGTACAGCGGCACTAATTCACTGACAGTTTTAAGGATTCAATGTAGCACTCATTGGGGCCGAAACATAAAGGTACCGCCGTCCCAGAACCAAACGTAGCGTTAGGGAACAAATTTTTGTGTTTGTCAATTAATTAACTGTGTGTTTAATCGAACCCAAAGCGCAACCCAGATAGAGTTTTTATGTCAAATTTTTTATTAGTTCCCAAAAATGAGGTCAGGTGTTTAGAGGATTTTTTGGAATTCTCGGGAGTGACAGGAGTTCATCCAGGTCTTTCAAATTAATGAAATTTAAATGTGCATGTGATATTCAATGTATATGACTAAAAATCACATGAAACCATTGCGATTATTCACAAATGTCGCTAATGTTTTATAACTTTACTGTAAACTACCCCCTTAGGTACTTCTCCACCATTCTGGTGGATAATTTAATTTAAGTGAGCGTTGAATTTAAGGCATCGTGTTACTGTAAACCGTCTAACGAGCATAACACCTCGTATTAAAACTTCCATGCTCCCTCGAGGGGGGCGTTCCAAAGGGTGAAATCACCATGGAAATTTAGTAGGTGAACATAATCGCCTGCCGGATTGTGCGACTGGCAAATATCCCCAATTGGTTTTACGAAAATGCACTTACCTGCTTATGCGTCATTAAGCTGTGGTTTCCATTACTTCTTAATGTAAATTTTCTCTAAAAGAAGGCGCACTTCACTAAATAGGTACTGGCACATTATCTGCAACAATGCGAGCAAATGTCAAAGTTTTTATTAAAGGGCAAACACGTGTGTACAAAAATTTAATAAAAGAGAACGAAATTGAAAAGAAAAACTTTATACATGAGAGCAGATCTAAGGGAAATTCTTATTTTCATATGTCACACCCTTATCAAATATGAAAACATAAATTAAATACACGTTCCCTGTACACTTGTCGCGTGGAAATGGGTCCCTAAGCGAACGAGATCCTGTTCGAAATTTGCTAAAGCGAAATTAAGATTCCTTTCGAATTTTCATTTGCGTTTCAGATTTACGCCATATCAGTTCAGCTCAGGCGATAAGCGTTCCATTAGAATTCATCTCATGCATTTTTTTTTCGGTCTAATGAGTTTTCGTAAAAGCCGCCATTGACGACCATTTACTATGTATTCAATCACCGCGGTCATTAATAATTTTTCGAGCGACAAAAGTCAATTTTAAAATATCGACGTTATCGGAAGATTACGCTTTCTGCAGTAAAGGGAAGTTAAATGGGCCGTTTCTAACGGCAGACGTTTTTTTGCGTCTTCGACCCTTGTTTCACCGAATACCAATTACGTAAAATAAGTCTGTGCTGCTTCCTTTGTGAAATGCATATTATACAGGTTGCTTAGGACACACGTCTTTTCTCCCCATTTACATTTATACAGACATATGGATTCGAGTCGTTATAATTTCAAGCTGAAAACCTTCTACGTAAATAGTACTTTTTCATTTAAGAATATAAAACCAATTTCGTAAAACACTCACCATTTTCGACGTTTCGCGAATTGAATTTCTTTGTTTTGTTTACGCATTGGGTGTATGAAACATATTATGTCAACATCTTAAATCGAATTTTTACATTTTCCCATCCTCAGAGAAAATATGTATGCCCAAACAGAAAACTTCTCAAATTAGAAACGTGACAAATGTTCTTCGCGACCTGCAGATCGCGTACCACAATTTCGTACGTTTTCACTCTTTCCGAGTGTTATTGACTCTTACCTAATGTGATATATTATATTGTCCGGGTCGAAGAACAATTTGACAAGAGCTTTTAAATTAAATTTATTATGACGGTTTTTTATAATTTTTCTAACAACCTTATTTATTTCTATGGCAACATTTTTTAATAATTCAGTGAACTTGATACAAATAAATTCAACATTTCTCCACCCTAGTAATTGCCTCTCTTCCAGCAATTACTACTGCAGATCAAGTACAATGAGTTTGGACAGTGCTCTTCGGTATACCTTTCCATTCCCATCCTTGACGTCAACTATACGAATTCTACCATCTCTGGCAGGATACGTTTTAACTACTCTTGCTTTTCGCCAATCATTTCTTGTTCCATTTGGATCAACAATTATAACAATGTCATCAACTTTGATATTCTTCTGTTCTTGATACCATTTGGACCGTTTAATTATTGTTGGTAAATAGTCATCAAGCCATCGCTTCCAAAAGAAGTCTGCCAAACGCTGAGCTGACCTCCAACTATTCATAAGATTAAGATCTCGATTGTCAGTAGTCACAGTCCAAGGTTGTGCTACAAAGTCTGGTCCGATCAGGAAGTGATTTGGTGTCAGAGGTTCAGAGTCATGAGAATCGGAAGAAACGTGTGTCAGAGGTCTGGAATTCAATATATTTTCGCACTCTATGAGGAAGGTTCTGAGTATATGTTCTTGAGGATACCTAGTATTCAGAATTTCCTTTAATATCTTCTTTATGCTTTGAATTTGCCGCTCCCATATGCCGCCCATATGTGGTGCATGTGGAGGATTAAAATGCCATTTAATTCCTCGCAAAGAACAAAATTCTATTATTTCATTTTGTTGTAAATTGTCAAGATGTTGCGAAATTTCCCTTTCAGCCCCTCTAAAGTTCAATCCATTGTCACTATGGATTTCGTGAGGAAACCCACGTCTACAACCAAATTGCCGGAGTACATTTATAAAAGCATTAGTCGTGAGGTCATGAGCAATTTCTAAGTAAACTGCCCTGGTTACTAAACAAGTGAAAATAACTCCATACCTTTTCTCTCTGCTTCTCTTCACTGCAACTTCAAAGGGTCCAAAATAATCCACTCCACATTTTATGAATGGTCTGATTGTTGGTTCTATTCTGCATAACGGTAATTGTCCCATAATTGGTATCATGGGATTGGCTCGCCTATTGCTACAGTGCTGACAATTATGGAAAACATTTTTCACTGCTTGTCTCATACGTAAAATCCAAAATTTACATCGTAATTTGTTGAGTACTATTTCTTGTCCAAAATGATATGCATTTTCATGATAATGTTGAATTATCAGTTTAGTTATTCTATGTTTCGGGTCTAATATTATCGGATGTTTCGTATCGAAATTCAAAGATGAAGAATTATTCAATCGTCCATCTAGCCTCATCAACTTGTCCTCTTCTCTGAACGTACAAGACAATGAAAAGAGGCGACTCGTTTTCTTGATTATTTGACCTTGTTGTAACATCTTGTATTCTTCTAGAAAAGATTCCATCTGTACCTTTCGATAAAGAATAATTTCAGCTTCATACAACTCTTCAACGGTAATTTCGTTCCGGATGAAAACTTTTGCTCGTAGTATGTTTCTTACTCGGATTATGTAGGCTGTAGCTCTAAGAAGTCTCGTCCATTTTGAAAATCTTTCAGGATTAGGAATATCAGGGATCAAATCTTGTGCTGAAAAGTTGATGCAAGTATACTCCAGTCTTTTCATTTCTAAATTGTCTGAATCAATTTTCAAATCATGTTCGATTTCTCTTGGCCATTCCTGGGAATTCAATAGTAGAAACTTTGGCCCACATATCCACCTAGAATCTGCTGATACTGAGGAGTTCATAACATATTTCGTCGCTTCGTCCGCAACGTTGTCTGAAGATCTAACATATTTCCAGTCAGTTACACATGTTAATTCTTGAATTTCACCTAGTCTTTGGGCTACAAATACTTTAAAACGTCCAGCTTCCGATCGAATCCAATGGAGAACTGTTTTTGAATCAGTCCAATATGTCGTGGATGAAATATTCAAGTTTAAATTCTTCATTAGATAGTTACCTAAGCGTGCACCCATTAATGCCCCTTGAAGTTCCAACCTTGGTATTGACATAGGTTTTAAAGGAGACACTCTTGCTTTGGCATTTACGAAACTGACCTGTACTTCATTTCCATATTGTATTCTCAGATAAGCTACTGAAGCATAGCATCTTTCTGAAGCATCGCAGAATATGTGCAGCTGCAAATGACTTGAACTCCTATCGAATGTGAAATATTGTCGTGGTATCTTGAAATTATACATTTTCTTCAATTCCTCAATCCATATGTTCCATTTATTCGCCAAGTTATCTGTAATTTCGTCGTCCCAACCTAACTGGCTCCTCCAAACATCCTGTATCAGCATCTTACCTTGAATCAATATGTTTGTCTTTGTAATAAATCCCAGTGGATCAAAAACTGACATTACAATTTTCAAAATCTCCCTTTTCGTCGGTCTTCTTATATTTTCCAACAAATCCTTTTCAATTTTGTGGAATTTGGTTTTGAACTCGAAAGTATCATTAATTGGGTTCCAAAATATGCCAAGTACTCTTTCGATATTCTTATCGTTTTCATTTCTCAAAGTTTTCATTCCATCGGCCACTAATTTGGAATCAATATGGTCAATAATTTTGATATCATTCGCAATCCAATTGCAAATCTGAAAACCTGCCTTACTGTGTATATGTCGTAGTCTTTTAGTGAAATCAGTCATTTCACGAAACGCCTAGTCATTTATATGAAACTGTGGAACAGTTTACTTTCCAAGACCAAGCGATTGGATTCCCTTCCCATTAGAGATCGATAAATGGTATCCTTATCGATCTAGAAGGGGAAGGGAAATTACCCCACACGTAAATTTTCAGCGTTTCACTAAATGACTAGGCCTCGGACTAGGCGTTTCGTGAAATGACTGATTTCACTAAAAGACTACGACATGTGTATATAAATCACATCTGCAATTAATTTATGGGCTGCTTCAATTGTGTCTGCTCCACCCAAATAGTCATCCATGTAATGCTTCTCTATAATGTCGGGAACAGCATCTGGATGAGTCAGTTTAAACTCTTGTGCATTCTTATTCTTAGCTTCCTGAGCTAAGCAAGGACCACAAGTCGATCCAAAGAAAACAACTTCGATTTCATAAACGTCAGGTTCTCTCGTTCTATCCATCTCTCTGAAAAGGACGCGTTGTGCACTACAGTCGTCTTTCTTAACGCGAACTTGTAAAAACATCTCTTTAATGTCAGCTGTGAACGCATATCTGCAGATCCTGAAGTTAATTAGTATATTAAAGAGAGAGTTATATTTGTCCGGACCTGTCAATAAAAAATCGTTCAAACTGACACCATTACTCTTGGCAGAAGCATCGAAAACAATGCGTAATTTATCAGGCTTATTTGGATTAATTATACCAAAATGAGGTAAATACCAGACTTTGAATTGATCTCCACATACCTCGCTGTTGTTCAATTTTCGTATATACTTCTTTTGCACCAGTTCATCGAATTTCTGACAATATCTTCTGCCATACTCTTCATTTTTGTCCATTTTTCTTTCAGTGCAAATAAGTCTTCTCATCGCATTTTTCTTGCTTTCGGGAAGTACTACATTTTCATCTTTCCAGAGGAGTCCGGTTTCAATTCTTCCTCCTGATCTTGTCATGGTTCTATCCATTATAGACTGAGCGACCATGTCTTCTTTGGACATTGCTTTTTCAAGCTTATATACTCCAGACGAGTCTATTTGCCATTGTTGTTTAACTAAGTCATGTAAAACATCCAAGTCGTCCTTATCTTCACTACTCATGTGACATACGTGACTAGTGGTATGCTTGTTTGAAAATGTGTTAGCAGTCTGGCTTACATTTCCATGAAGTACCCATCCCAGCAGTGTCTTGCTTAAGGCAGGGCCATTCCAAGGTCCAGAAATAATCCTTTTGTTAACTAGTAGGGGCCAATTGTCCTGTCCGATTAGCACCTTAGGTTTTGCATTTGTCATAGACAAAACCCCATTACCTAAGTAAGTAAATCTTTCCATCATTTCTGAACTATTAATGGATTGAGTAGGTAGGGACATTTCTTTCATAGTCCATACACGACGCAATTGATATTTCTTATTCTTTTGTTGTCCGATGATACTGAAACTTACTATTCTTGAATCGTCTTGTTGACGAACTTGATTATTTGTCCACTGAATGGTGAGTGTACGTTGAGGTCCATCCATATGAAGTTCATCAGCTAAGTCTTGATCTATGAGTGTAACTGTGGATGCATCATCCAGTAAAGCATGAGTATGTACATAATTTCCATTTGTATTAATTGTAATAGGAATAATCTTCAATAAAACATTGTTACTTGTTAAGCGATGATAATTAACTTCATGTTGATAACCTTGATTGCTTCTATTATGATTATTATCATTATCTTTATGCAATAATATGTGATGAGGCTTTGTGCATTGATTCTTCCCACATATTTTAATTGATTTGCATGTCCTCAAAGTATGATTAGGTATAAGACAAGAGAAACATATTCTTTGGGATGTGACTACATGCCATCGATCATCAACGCTTAGAGATTTGAACTTTGAACAATTACTAAGATGATGAAACTCATTTCCACAACAAGCACATTTGGGGTTTGTTGTTCTACTATTGTTTGTGGTCAGAGTAACATCTCTCCTATTGTGTTTTTGTTTATCCCTAGTTACATTAGTTACCGTATCTGACAGTTTTGGCATTTCAATTTGACTAACAATCGAAGCCCTATGATCTAACCACGCACTGAATTCTATCAGTTTAGGTTGTTGAACCGTTTTTCTAGAAATATATTCCAGCCAACGTAACTTCTGTGAGGTTGGTAATTTATTTAGTAGTTCTTGAAGTAGAATTGGATTTCGCAAATGATCCTCTTGGTTTAGAGTTTCCATGGTACCTACTACATTTTTGACGTTGTCAGAAAAATTAATGAACATGTCAAGTTTATCTTCTTTCACTACGGGAAAGTTCCTTATTCTATCTAAGAGCATAAAGACTATTAATTCAGGACGGCCAAATCTTTTCCTCAACATATCAATGATTTTATCCGCATTCCTTGGTAATATAAGAAGACTCTCAACAATCGTTCTAGCATTACCTTTCAGGCATTTTTGTAATCTACATTGATTCTCTTCTTTTGTGTAACCACAAATAGCTGTCGAATTTTCATACTGAAATATGAAATTGGGCCACTCTGTGGGATAACCATTAAATATTGGCAAATCTTTTGGCATTGCTTGTCTGGTTATGAATGTTGAGAATTCGACTGGTACTTGAGATTTATTTATTTGTTGGTTACGCAAATTATATTTAGATCCTACCTCAGATGACAAATCCTTTGCAGGTGAAGCATCTCTACGACTATTTATCCATTTTTGTACAAATGACCTATTACTTTCTGACCCACTGTCTACTGATTCAGAATTCCCGTCGACCTCTTCTTGTTCTAACTTGGAGACCTGCATCGCCAATTCTAAATCCACAATCTCTTGCGCCAGTTTCCGCTTCTTTATCTCGGCGTCAATCTTGAGTTGTTGTCTTACGAAACAGTTGCTTTTACTAGATGATTTCCTTGACCTGCACGATTGCGTATCTTCATTGGTTTGAAGAACCTGAATCTCTTCTTGCTTGTCAGGAAGGCTGTCATGTCGTTGTTCAATATGTTTACCCATGGCTTTCACACGTTCACTCCGTCTTGGAAAAGTTAATGATTTTGACATCTTGGTTATTCTATGAATTTCTTGATGCCTTGTCTGAGGGATCAATGTCGTTCACGAGTGCTTCCTCTCTTGGGGAAATTACCAATATGACTATACCCACGTGATGTAACTTGTCGATGTAACAATCACGTACAGCTCCTCTTCTTGAAGGACTAATTACAATCCAAGTGCGGTTCGTTTTCTCGAAGGACCAATGTTATTGACTCTTACCTAATGTGATATATTATATTATCCGGCTCGAAGGACCAATGTTATTGACTCTTACCTAATGTGATATATTATATTGTCCGGGTCGAAGAACAATTTGACAAGAGCTTTTAAATTAAATTTATTATGACGGTTTTTTATAATTTTTTCTAACAACCTTATTTCTATGGCAACATTTTATAATAATTCAGTGAACTTGATACAAATAAATACAACACAAGGATTACCTACCTTTAATTTGATACAGTAGGTAATACAAATTTGTATAAGAATAAGTTGTTTGCGTAATTGGGTTGTGTAATGACTAATTACTCATTTAATTACCAATAGGTACTGAATCCATGGAATTACATATAATTTATACAAATGCATTTTTATTATCAATTACCTACCAATTTATAATTGATTTAGGGTAGTTTCCGGGTGAGTACCTACATAAATCGGCCCTTATAGCACAGTGTGCAAAATTATAAGTGCATAATGAAGATAATCCTCTAACTAAACAAATTTGTTATTAACTGATTAAAATTAATGAATATGTGTTGTACATAAATCATGGATTACTTTTCATTTTTCTTTGATAATTATTATCTTTTTTGGGTTTGGAATACTGCTGGGAATGTCCAAAAGTAAAGGTCAAAAATCCGATCCCACTAAATACCGAGCGATCTCGACCTCTTGACGCATCCATCATTTTTACAACACACCATCCATGAGGGGTTGATTGTGTCCACCAGATCAGCATAGCTTGTAAAACTCATTTTTTAATTAGGTATTAGTCTAGGTATTAGTTTCACGTTTACTGGAAGTACCTACATATAAAATCTTAACAAATAAAAAAATTGCATTGCGCAAATATAAAAGTTGGGTTGCGCATGCGCCAATTTTTTCATTTGCATATTTGCTGGAGGTTTTTAGGGAATATTTACTAATACAGAAAACTATACATTCATATGTTTTTTGTAATTAGAATTTAATTATAAAAGGAACCTTTTTTTTTTAGGTTTAGATAGTTTTTGGGCTGTAATTTTTGGCCCGTTAGTCTACGTAGCTAAAAAACAAAAGCGACCTTTCCCATATTCTTAGGAACATGTGTACCAATGCGATCGGACGTGAGTAGAAATGATTCAACGACGTCACACGTCTTGCGCTGTGATTAGCTGCGCCATTTCGTGGCCGTAAATTTGACTTTGTGCGGGAAATTTGAATTTTTGAATTTCTGGATGTCAGCAATTTTTTGGCGGTAAATTGGAATTTGAGTGTAAGATTTGTTTTTTGAATTTCCGGATATCGGCCATTTTGTAGAGGTAAGTTTGAATTTGTGCGGGAGATTTAAATTTTTGATGGCGGTAAGTTTGAAATTTTAAATTTCCGGAGACGTCATTTTGTTGCGTTAAA